AGTCTGATCTAAATTAAATAGGCCGCAGTTAGCCTTAAGACCAGTTTGGAGGGACTGAGAAAAGACTAGGACAGTCTAGACCAGTTAAGTCTTAAGAATATGGACTGTTAAAACTAAAATGAAATGGACCAGACAGGACTAGATTAGACTCTTGTTAATATCCTCAGTTGTATTCAGTGTTGGCCTATGACCTGTAATGACCTATTTGCTAGTTATAGGTTATGATCTTATAGCTTGTTATGACTTATAACATTTACTTAATATTATAAGCATCATGGTCATATAAAGTTGGATATAACCTAAAATGGCCAACGCTGAGTTGTATTTGAATCAGCCTTAAGTAACAGAACGTTACAATTAGGATTGTAAACTTTAGATTTCAAAATTTTGATGTAATTTAAGATGTAACTTAGAAGAAATTTTCATATGCTCGCTTAGGTTATGACGTAAGTCTACAACTCTAGTTATAATCTGATTATACTTTATTCACTTGATATTAAATCCAGTTTGTTTATTATAACTTTTCTTGATACAGTAAATGGAATACTTAAAACAAAAGGCACGAGTGTTATTTAGACAAGTTAATTGAATTCTTTTATGTTGAACTAAATAAAATGAATTTGTTATATGCCGAACTTAAAACAAATTCGTTTACGCTAAGCTTAAATCGAACCGAATCAACTCATGTTAAAGTAAATCGGATATAGAATGGAATCGACTCTTATTTCGAAATAATACACACGTGCATACTCGAAATAACGCGCAGGTGGATGTTATTTCGCGACGATATGGCACGTGCATGAACTTTTGTGACAAGTACCGAACAGTTTTTATATAATATTTTTGGTCGTATTGGACTTTTCAGATCACACGTTTTCAATCTTATTCACATTTCACCGTATAGCCCACCTACCGTATGATGCATTCACTATAAAATCCAAACATCAGATACTAGTGTATACTTGGCGATTTTCATATATAAAGTTTTTCTGTATGAATATATCCCAAGTATCTTGCATTTCACGAAAATTTTCGTTAGAAGATACTATAGTTCGTGACATAGTAAACGTCGAATAATTCCAATTAATTTATTCTCGGAAAACACCATTATTGCGTAATTGTCTGGCAAAATTTAAACATTCATTCTTTCATTTGAATGAAGTATGCGTTAAACATATTTATTTCATTTATAAAATAAGATCTACCAGTCTCTCAAAGGATTTCGTTTTAATTTAAGTTTTATCTCCATCATAATCATTCTTGAATCAAAATGAAATTATTCTTTAGTCTTAAAATAATAAACTTTTTCATCACCAGTTCTTGGTACACCAAGTTCTTCAAGTTTATGAAATGCTGCTGCAAAATCTTTGAAAAACAACTCTTCATCTTGTTCCACGTACTGTTTAAAAGCTTTATCCTAAATTTAAGTAACAAAGATAATTGTATTGAATTACATATATATCATATATGTATGTGTTGGTTAAATAATATAGTAATATACCTGAATAAAAGCGAGATCTGCGGGAAGCATCATGAGTTCACCTAGATAACAAAAGAATTCCATTTAATAACTTCATTTATCAATATAATTAAAAGAAATTCTAGTATACCTGTTTCCTTATCAATAAATTGTTT